CTGACAAGCAGCTGGGAGATTCACTAACTTTACAAGTTCCTGGTGTAGAGAACAAGAGCCAAAATTCAGCAGCCAATTCCCAGCTACGCTCATCAGTTGTGCTAGAAAGTTGTGCTGCTCATCATCTTTCTGCTGCTTCTGGAAATTCTTGGCAGGACAGAATAAGCTTACAGAGGTGTTTATAGGAACCTATTCAATTTTCTCCTTGCTAAAGCCCAACTCTTCTTTTGCTTACAACGACCTCCTGCTCCCTCTTCTGCTGGACATACATTTCTAATCCAACACTCAAACTAAAATAGCTTTTTATTTATTTCACACTGAAAAGTTTAACCTGCTTTTTGCCAGACTGATTATATTCTCCTTTTATTTTTAGGATTTACAGTTTGTCCTGCACAGTCTTTGGGAAATACATACCAAACTGCAGCATATCAATAATTCATTTGACCAACAAAAAAATCCAGTAGGTTCCCTCGGAATCCTAACTACACATGGACAGATGCCAAATAAACATCTTGATCCAGAGCCATTTAGTGCTCTGCTCTCTGCAAGCCACATGGGCTCAGAAAGAATGTGTTTCCAGGCATAGGTGTTTATATTCTTGCACATCCTTCCTCACAGAATGAACCTTACATATATTCCAGTCAACCCCTGCATGTAAAATAAAAGGAAAAATGGACAAGCATTGAGCTATGTTTTTAATATCAAACAGCAACAGTTCTGCCAGACCAGTGGGGAAAATGAGAACAAGAACTGCAGAGCCTTCTCCACAGTCAGCCCGATGCCTGCTCTGCCCTGTACTAACACAGCATACAAGCACTGGGACGTAGCTCAAGGAGCACATGTTCCAATAATGTAATGTGAAAGGCACAAAGAACTGGCTAAAACATGGCATCAAACATGGCCAACTGCCTTCCTCAACACAGAAGATGAAAATAAACAAACATGCTTTTGGTCAGTGAAACCAGCTTGGGCAAAATGTATTCACCAGCTACAAAAAAGCAACAACCAGTGGGGTCTGAGGCAAACACCATCAGACATTCTACCTATCCTTAAGCTTGTGAAATGTCACCACTACTGTCTTAAGCAGCTTTAACTACTCCAGATGTAGCTGTAGGTTCTGCAAGGATTTTGGGAGGCCCTCTACCCAATGCAAGAGATGGCCACAAAGTGCTAATAGTTTCTCTGAAATGTTGTTAAAAGGAAGAGGACAATCGTCTTGAAAACTATGGCAAACACAAATACACGCTGGAGGGAATTCAACACAGACAGTTCATACTCTTATGTTCGTCAATGATAGCAAATTAAAACTGGTCTTACGCACTCAATGCACAGGACTGGAGTATTTAAAAAAAACTCAATATGTTAAGTGCAGTATATCTCCAGAGAAATTAGGTATTGACTGCATGCCTCAGTGAGTAGAAAATCTACAAAAATCCATAGGAGGCATTGATCCAAATATTACTTTTTAACACTAACTATGTAACAGTTTTTTAAATATACACTGGGCACAGATATAATTCTGTTTAATTATCAATCAACAAACAAAAATGTAATAGTTTATACAGTATAGTCTTTAAAAATGAATACACTCAAACACCATGCTAAAACTAACCATGCAGTTGTGCCATATGAAACTGGCATCAAAATGAAAAGGTCTGAAATTTAAAAAAACCCACATGCTGGTTGCAGTGAAATCCAGCCGCCAAACACAGGAATGCTGATGGGGTGGGTCAGATCCTGTGGCAGAGCCCCATTTGGGCCCTGACTTGGTTCAAAGTGACCTCTGGACCTAGACAGGGGATGTAACTGAGGGCGAGATGAATACTTGCAAACACCCACAAACCTGGAAGCCCCCAAGCAGCACTGTGGCACAGGAGAACCAGCCTGCAGGGCTCACACACACGGTGAGGAGCAGAGGTGAGCTGTGGGAAACTAAAGACAAAACCAGCATGAAAAGCTGAGACATGAGGCAGGGCAGCTGCTCCCAGCCTTTCCCAGCTCAGGGGGGAATTCCTCTTCAGTTCTAGCACAAAGTCAAAGCCACCAGCACCACCAGCATACATCTGGCACTCGCTAAAGTAACTTGTTTGAAGGCAGCCTCTTGCCATCAGCTGTCACAGGAGCAGCTCATCCGACTCAGCCCTTATCAGAGGCTGTCAGAAGAATACAGACTAATTCTACCACCCAAAAGTGTTACCACGCAGTGGCTGCTGGTAGGAAACTTTCTAGATTTCGGTGGACTGCAGAACATCTACACCTGATGAACTCCACAGAGAGCTTGGGGAATAAACAGGCATGCAGCTGGGTTAAACTCTCAGTTAAACTCTGGAAACACCAGTGTTGATTTAAATTAGTGGGAAGTGGTTGCATTTGATTGGCTTTATGCAAGGAGGTTATCAGCTTCAAGCATTGCCAAGAGGCACTTTTAAAATCAACAAATTCGTAATTTTGTTTTAAGTTTCAGTATGTGCCTCAAATCACTGTATATATTCAGGTGGATACTTTATGAGCAAGTCTCAATGTTCTAATTTGTCTCAATATAACAACAGGTACTATTCAGCAGCTTTGAGATATTTATGTTGCTATGAACATTCAGGAAATGCCCTCTGGAAAGGATTCTCAATTATATAAAATATAATTTAAAAATTAGCATTATATTCCAAGAGTGTTGACACAAAAGCCCACTCCACTCTGAAAAACTGGGGAACACCAGAATGAAGGCTGTCCATGCAGCTTGAATTTGCCAACAGTGAAGTGATCTTTAAACTCTTTTCAGAAGAGCACCCCACCTCACTTGGTACATAAGACTCCATCACAAGTTGGTAGGAAACTGTTAAGCAAAGCAGCCCTTGGCCTCAGCTGCTGGAAGTCGTTTAGAACCCTGAAGCATCTCTACAACTCTGAACCTCACAAGATGAGAAACCAGTCACTGTGTTCGACCACCTGGACCTGGGCAATCTCGGACAGAAGTCACTGCAGATATACGTTTTCCCTGGGATGTTGAGAGGCCTGCCGCAAATGGGAAACTCTGGTAACCTGACCTTAATGGATTCAGGCTGTTACAAGGTCAGAGCTGAGGCATACAACGTGAAAAGTTTGGATTCCCTACGACATACCAGATACTACATCATGTTCTGCAGGCTTTTCTGGCAGGAGCAGCGGAAAAATCTGCGCATTTTCTGTTCACAGCTATTAACAAACAAAAAATTTTCAACTGTAAGAGGGGGGCAAGCACCCCCAAGATACCTTTCTGAATATTTTGCTTCGTGGAGCCCTCTGCTTTTCACCAATTCCATCATGGCTTTCGCTCCTTAAGGGGGGAATCTAACCCTCAGACTGCAAAAGACAACTTAACTCACAGTTGCATGGGCACACCTTTTGCCACCCAGGTCTGTAAAGTTTCCCTACTCTATCAAATAAAATGAATTATCTGTTCTGCAATCACATACTCATCACACACCCGTGCACTAGACAAACTATTTGCTATAACAATCCAACTTGCAAATCCCAAATACTCCAGCTTCCATCTATTCTTCAAACTGCATCCACATCAAATACGAGTACAGAGCCACACTGTTCACAGTACCAGGAAAAACAGCCACATCTCCAGAAAATGCACAATACGCTCAGGAGAGCTAGAAGAGTCTGAAACAGATGCCCTCTTCACCACAAAATAATTTTTAGCAAGCAAAATTGTGCAATTGTCTTAGCAGCAAATACTTGACAGTCTTATTTCATTTTTCCTAATGACCAGAGTTAAACGACTGCAGGTTTTAACAGCGCCGGCAAATTATCAAGACCCTCTACATTACATGGTCAATGGTCCTTTTAATAGAAAAAGCAATAATATACAGTTGTTTGTGCCAACTAAAACTCGTTAGAAAGTATTAGTTTAAGGTAACACTTCAGCAGCTATTAACAAGCACAAATTTCTACATTTATCGCTTGTGACACTGTGATCCTAGCAAAGCTGGCAGGCAGAAAACCATTCTTTTGGTTTTAGAAAATCTTGGGGTGGGGGGGAATAGGGGAAAGAAAAGTTAACAAAAACACTGTTTTGTTGGAAGCGTCAAAGTTTTTCAATAATCACCATTTTTTTCACTAGCATAACATTAGAATTGACTTTTTGTCTTGCTGACATAGCAACTAAGAAAGTTGTGTTGCATTGACCATATTGATTGTGAACAATGCAGCCATCAGTGGGACTTTGCACCATATATTTTCAATATTGACCTCCCATTCCCTTTTCCATGGCTCTATGGGTCTGCTATTGGATTTGGACTGCAGTGTAATAAACAGCTAAGGTTTAATTAATGGTAAATGAATACAAGACATAGGTTATGACTTTAACTAATTAGGGAATTGTTGAATTAAGTCTGCCTTGGAATGCAAGGCAGTACAATCAATATCCAATAAAAGGACTATGTATGTAATTTACCTGCAAATGTGTTTCCAATACCATCAAAGTGAGTTTAAATAAGGAAGATATATGAAAGGCTACTGGAAAAAGATTTCAAAAAGTTAACACTTTATGGCTTCAAAAAAGGTTTTTCTCCTTGCAGAAGGAATGTCATCTTGAAATATCCTCTCATAACACAGATGGTGACACTCAGACACAGCTCTCCCTAAAGGACAGTGCAGACTCAAAACATTTTTCCTTGACAATGCAACATAAGCAAACATCGCCTCTGCAGTGTATAGCAAACACAAACCAGTACTCCCAACATGAACCAATTAAGTTTAATGGCAAGCTCTTCTGAGGGCATCTTGGTCCACCTTCCAAGCACTAGATGTGCCGCAGCCTCTCCGTTTTCGTTGTGCTGCCCCCCTTCCCCCATCAGCCCCGGAGAAGCCTTCCCAGGTACAAGAAAAGGTCACCACACAAGGGTCTGATCAACCCTGAGCAATCCCCAAGACTACTCCTATTGTATACATCAGCTCACACAGCCTGATTACTCATTCTGTAATCACTCCTCTGAAATAAAAAAAAAGAAACCTACCTACTCCCTTGTGGGCATCTATGCTGGTAAACTCTATTGTCCCATTATGGCCCTTCCTAGGATTTTCCTGATACTGTTTGTGGTTCCCATTGGGACAATATCTGTAGGAAAGTCCATAATCTGCAAGATAAACCTGGAAGACATGAACAGACAAATGAATAATGCTTTTGTCCTTTGAAAGTATAACCTTTATAATTAAGTCTTAAGAAACTGATAGGTTAAGGACAGCCTTAGATCTAAATTTTATTAAACCAAATGGTGCCTCAGGATAAAATATGTACAACTGGGGGCTATAACAGCTGCCCTCCCCATTTAAATCCTTCTACTACTATGCTCTTATTTCAGAGTCGAGCAGAATTTCAGTCTTTTTATTTTGTTCCTAAGCTCTCTCCTCTCCAGGTGGGCATCTAGATATCATAAACTGCAATATGTCTTTTATGGAGCCTCACATTGCTTATGGGACCCCTTCCCCTCCTTACTTAAACAGGCACATACACACCCCTGTTCAAATTTTCCACCAGCTGAGAGTGTACAATTTCATAACAGTGCAGCTTAAAAGCCAGAGAAAGAGAGAGACAGTAGTTTCCCCCAGCTGGACTGGATGAGGGGCTGCAGCACTAACAGGGACTGTGACCAGGGGACTTCTAGCCACTAGCCTTACCATAGCCTCATCTTTTGGGAGTATCACTGTCACTAACTTCGTACTGGCAACAACCATTTAAACACCAAATATGTGATAAAACAAAGCAAAACTAGCCCACCCACTCAGAAAGCAATCTTAGTAATTTATAATAAATTTTATGTATAATAAATTTTTAAAAGGCACAGAGCCAGATTTCACTCTCAGTTACTCTGAAGCAAATCCATGAGGCTAAATCAGCATAAGGGAAAGAAATTTGCACCCTCACTTTGTATACTGCAGCAAGCTCATGTATTCTGCCACATTTACCCTTCCATCCTGGTACAGGTCTATTTTTTTTTTTTCCCCAAGATGCTTCACTAGAGCTACCTAAATGATCAGAGGGAAGAAGCCCCAGTTCCGAACGACGTTTCTGGGAGATGCCCTTGCATATTCTTGGGACCTAACTGTGGAAGTATGAACAGACTTGAAACTGACTTTAAACTCTGTCTTGCTCACTTTTATGTATTTGAAACTGAAAACGGAATAGTTCAGGAGAACTGATTTTTACTTTCTGTTCTGCTGCTGCCTGTCAAGACAAACCCGAACATGCCATCTGGCTCCTACGCCTCTATTTCTCGACAAGCATCATGCACGTAGTACATGTCGATTCTGCCACTCACAAAATTCAGATTAAGGGCACAAGTCCACCTTATGAAGTTCAGATTAACATGTTCTACCCTCCAATGGGGTAGAATTAATACAAGCACATGGTCAATTACTGCAGCTCAAGTGACAAGCAGTAACTTGTTGAAAGCAGCTGGAATTTAATCACAGACTGTCCACCTCACAACATCCCATAGGTTATTTTCTCACTGTCATTTTCACACTAACACTGGCCTTTGCCCTTTACATTGACCAGTTCTCACATTAGGTAATTGCTTTTTTATAAATATCCAAGTATGGTACTTTCACTTAAAAAAATGCTACCGACTGCTATTATATTGCCAACAGGACTGATCTCTAGGGCAAAAGATAAATCATCTGAAGGCCTACAGAGATCACTTCTACTAAATCATATTATAAAGAAAAACTTTCTTATCTGAACCTTAGTTTTGTTTCCTCTTTAGCTAGAAAAATAGTTTATCCTGCAAAAGTCTAAATTAAACTCTTCTGGCACTCACTTGTAATTTAATTATGTCACTCCTGGTAGAGGAAAAATAAACAAACAAAAAACCCTCAAGAAAACTTAACGCATTATTTTGTAGCACAGTCTGTTGAACTACTGATTCCTGTTTGTGCTCCAGGCAGCTTCAAATCCTGGGATGGTCGGTCTCTTGGTTTTACTGTTTCTGCTGCAGGTTCTGTGCTTATTTGGAGCATGTAAGCTGGGATGCAGCATTCACTTCCTGCAGGGTGATAGCTTTTAAGATTACCGGTGATGTTTTTCACCTGACAGACTATACAAACTGTGATACAAGATTAAAGACCGTAGGCACGTTTAGAAAATCTGGGACAAGGCATAAACTTGGTTGGGTTGACCGATTTGATTTTCTCTTGCATCTGTTCTCCAGCGTATTCCTGATGCTCTGGTACCTATCCTAATTGAGCCCACAGTCAGTGTGAGAGAACTAATTTAAACTACCCTAATATCAAGTTTTGCTAGTCTTCTGCATCCTTTGTGGGCTGGGAAGCAGAGTACGCTAGAAGGTGTATTCTTCCCAGGCTAAGTGGTACATTTTGGATTTTGCTCGACTACAGATTTCTGACATGTACAGCTGACCAGATCCAATAACATGAAATACAGAGCAAATTTCAATCTTTAAAAATTCAGGCTATGCCTTATAGTAATATGAGATTTGAACCGTTAGAAAAAACAATACAAGAAAAGCATCTCTGCCAGCTCTCCGGTTCTGTCTGAGCTGGGAACGCAAGCTTATGTGATAGACACTCCCATATGGCAGCGCAGCCTTGGTCTTTCAAACTCACAACAGGGCGTCTAGAAAGTAGCCACAAACATTTGCTAGTCAAACATGAACTGCACTTATCCTACAGACACATCACAGGAACTACATATTTTTAATCCAATTTTAAACAACAGATTTGCTCAAAATACCTTCTGTAGCAGTATCAGTGAGCACTGAAAAACCCCTCTAGAAATGAAAAGTAGCTCTAGGTTATCCTGCCTCGATCAATGGTGGCAAAACCTGGAACCCAAGAAGCAATCACTTCTTAAAGTCACTCACATGCAATTGCAACATCTGTGATTGCACCACAGTTTGCTCCAGAAGTTGGTTGTGAGTGTCAATGGTCAGCTTCTAGATGAGCCATTTATCAGTCTCACAACGTTCACATCAGATTTTTTCCACAAACATGCAACGGCTGGTAGCCTCTCAAAGGCAAAGCCTCTTGGCCATCAACAAAAATCAATCCCCTTCAGCTTGTACAAAACCAGCAATGCACTGTTACAACCTTGCCACAACCATTATCAGAACGACTACATTATTTTAAATTACCATTAATTTCATTTCATCAATTCTCATTATAACCCTTTCATCATTAAAAAGATATATAATTCTTTATAGCTACTTGTCACTTTTTGATAATGTAGCACAGCGTGCCCTTCCAAATTTGCTCAGAACATGACTGGTAGGGGTAGTTAATAAATTTGTAGGTTTTGGCAAGTGTTTCTAGGGTATAGGGAGAAGTAAAACAAGATAAGTATTGAAGAATATTGAGAAAAAATAAAGTCAGTGTTAGTATATGTTTCAATACCATAAATATTTTTTTGTGTTTGGTTTTTGTTTTTTTTTTTTGGTTGGTTGGTTTGGGGTTTTTTTGGCGGGTGGGCTTTTTGTTTGTTTGTTTTGTGGGTTTTTTTTAACACTTCCCAGTTTGCACTAGAGTCAGCAATGCTTACCACAGCCCATTATTAATAGATTGTTATAGATTAGGACCCAGATTTCTAAAGTCTTCACACTTAATTTCATGCAAACATGAATGTGCTCATCTTATTCAAGCCATCAGCCACACAGGCACAAATAATTATTTACATTCACAAGCAACCAGCCATATATTCAGCAGTCCTCTTGTCTTTTCTGTGCAAGATTCCCACACAGTGATTTATATCTGAAGTGCTAAATATCTGCTAAACATATAAAATTCTTAACAACTTGTATGCATTATGATATATAACTACACTAATCTGGGAAGTCATAAGACTAGCACTTTGGATTCTCATGGTATTGTCTTCATTCTGAAGTTGACAAAGCAGGAGATTTATCACTGAAAGGATAACACAGTGATTTTCTTTGTACATTTTCTTTCCAGTGGTTCCATTACTAGGCTTATGTAATGTGTTGTAAATAATTAAGTAGATACGTACTAATAAGAGGCAGATTGGTTGCTAATGGCCATAGTGCTGTCAGCTTCTAGTTGCTAATGGCCAAAGTGCTGTCAACTTCCAACGGACACTACACTACAAGAAAACTAAATGTAGAGAAGTCCATCTTGGGACAGGAAGTCTGAAGTACAGTGTTTGGGACAGAAATCACATCTTTCACAAAACAGAAGCCAAGGAAGGAGGAGAGAAGATTAACAAAGGAGAGAGGGAATGAAAACTGTGATTTGTCAGTGGCAATTCCCAATGCTGGAATCAACTCCACGATATTTGGGCCATGACTACAAAGAAATTAAACCAGTGTAAAGAGTTCATCCAAATATGCTGATGAAAGAAAATTAAGGTCATCTGATTGTGAAGATACATCTCAGATCAGGGACACAGACAACATCCATGAGTTAAAAGTCAGCTGTTTCTGTCTGTAACTCTGCATACTGTATCCTTCCTAAAAACATGTGAAGGAGAACAGAAAAGATAAATTTTTCTGCATTCATCTGCTCTTCAGCAGATCTGTCATACTAGACCAAAGAGCAGGAATCACAATGGTTCATCTTGCAATGAAAAACAGGTTAAAGTTGGAATTGTTTTCATGCATGTTTTTCCCATACTATCAGTGTGCAAGTTCTGTATCTGCTATGCTGGTCCACTGAAAGCTGGTCTTAGAAGTTAATATTTTGAAACATTTTTGTATTCCTTTTTCCTTTTTGGTTAGGGCTATCTATGATATCAAGACCGAGAGTTTTAGTCTGTAACTGTCTTGTCCAAGAAATCCTTACAATCAAAATCAGAACTGAGGTACAAAGGCAATTAAAATTTACAACTTAAAAATCCAAATAGGCAACTTCTGGTACAGACTGGAGTCTGCAACACTGCCCATTTATTCTAGCAGGGGAAAAAAGGAAAATACTACAGGGTAATCATTTGGAAGAGGGATTCTTCCAAACCTTATTTCATTTATTAAAAAGTCTGATTTTAAGCTCTTGTCTGGTGACCACTTGTCTCTTTTGACAGCATCAGAATTTAAATTAGTTTAATGGATTTGAATTTCTTTTTCAGAGCTTATATCAGTAATGCTTATTCTGCTTTATCATCCAGTTACTACTATGCACCGAATTATCTTTAACTCGCTGCAGTACTGAGACAGTGCTTCACTTGTTCTGTAATTTATAGGTCTGATCACTTGAAGTTTTCTTTCAGGCCTCTCTGAGATTCATGGGCTGTGTACTTCCCTCAGTACATCACTCCTATTCTGTCAGTCATTGTGCAGGGTCCATGTTCAGAAACATATTGACTAGAGAATTGATCTTCTGACCTGTAACTCACTGAATGGCCTCGCTCCCTTCTATTGAATAGATCTGCAGCAAGCTGCTCTTTGAGGTCAGTTGATTCTGATCTTCTAACCATTTCTAAACATCATTTGGAGGTCACAGAGTGACAGGACCTTTTCTTTACTTGTTTCTCTGTCTGGCCACAGAAGGTAAGGGATAGCAGTATGGATTTCACATGTTCTTTCAATAAAGGGACTATGATATTTATTGGCTGTGGTGTAAATTTACCACGTTAATTTACAGAAGAGGGAATGTAGCAGCAGAAAATCTCACATAGAAAAATGATCTTTTTTGGAACTGCAGGAAATCGGTGACAAATTAGTTCATAAGAGTACACATGAACAGCCACTAAATTATAAAAGAATGCAAAGTTGAGTATGAAGGTACACATGCTTTCTTGAACAGAGATTTGTGTCTCCACCAAAACAGAATTTGGAAATACATTTTTAATACTTTTTTTGGTAAGACATTCCTTATCTGTTTCTTTTAAAAACAAATTTCTAGAATTAAAGAACACTTCCAATTTATTTTCTCTTAAAATCCTAGACCCTAAAGAACAAAAACCCACTAGCATAAAATACTTAAAAACTCACCACAGAAACTGTTAGGTCAGACAGCTTTATCATGCCAACTCCCACTGGAGCTACAGGTCTCTCGGCTTGTATTCCTGAGTTTGACGCTGGCTAGATGCTCACTCCTTATTTATAAGAACAGGTTGATCACACAACCTCCCGGTTCTATTGTTTTAAAAAAAACAAGACCAGGGCAACCTAGCTATTCACCATTTCAGCAGGGAGAGAAGGTTAGGTGAAAAATTTTACAGGCATTTGGTTGCAATAACAGTGTCCGAGGCTTTATCTGAAGTATCTAAGATTAGTATAAGATTGATGAATTAAAATACAGCATCTCTGATAACAGTTTAGAGGATAGAGGACAAGATATTCCATATTATTGTCATATTTAGTCAGTGACAATGCTCCACAGAGCTTCCCAAAATACTGTCCTGGTAAATGCATAATACATTCAGGTCACCAGCATGGTATAAAGACAGCTTGATTTGTAGAAAAGGCTGTCGCAACATCATAAACTCTTACGTAGGAACTGGACATGTTTGGAATATGAAGAAGCAACTTTCATGGCAGAATTACATGCAGATTAATGGCACATGCAAATAGCCAGGACATGATAAATAGAAACTCATCTGTGCAAGTACACATGTACAGTTCTTGAATACCTGAATCTGTGTGAGAATATTGTCTAGTACTGCTCCAAACCCAGGTAAAGAACATTTACTGAAGTATGAGGATAGACAGCACAGAGTCAGTAATTCCAGAGGAAGGATATTCAATTAGTTACATATGTAGATCTCTTAATTTGAAAGTTTTAGCTGGCGTGTTAGTGGGATTATTTCTTCTTTTCATGTCCTACAAGTCACAGAGCATACACGTTTCAAGATATTGTGCAAGCTGCATCTGGAAAATAATTTTTTATTTGTCCAGGAACAGACCCATTCAGCCACCTGCCCTGCTACGGAAGCTAATATAATACACAATACCTTAAAATAATTGACGAATCATCACTGTCTACACAGCAGTACAGTGGTATGGCATAGTTATTATGGCTTCAGTTAAATCAGCAGACCCGTGGCCATTTGCAAAATTTCTGGGGTCCATGACTAACAAGTTTATCTGAATAATATCTGAACAGTTCTAAGTTTTCTTAGGCGTATAGAAATGAAAGTTTAATTTATACCTTAAATACAAGCAAACATTAGAAATTCTCTGCTGTTAACTCTGAATTAGAATGTGAACTTTTTAGAATGTTTTACAGAATAACTTCAGTGAAAAAGAAATTTTACTGAAATAAAGTTCTACATAAAACCTCTCAGCAGTAACATACACTTTGTACAAGCTGAGCTAGGAGGCACTTAAACTGGAATATCTATTGATCTATTGAATAAATATAAGTTATATTTCCACCTAAAACCTCTGTCCAGTAACTCACAAGTACCTTGTTTTCAATCTGTCAATGAACTCACTACTCTTGAAAAAAAAAACAACCTAGTGTAACATGATCTTCATGCAGACATCATGAGAAACAAATCAGAAAATCACCCTACGATCTGTCCAATTCAAAAGCAACTGATCAAACCCTGCTACATGTCTTAAAATTTTATGATTACTGTAAATGGACACTTCCAAAATGATTTCAATGTGAAAAACAGCTGCATATCTTGCTGTCATAAAAATATACAATAGCCAAGACAAAAGAAGTCATTTGAGTTATGTTAATGGGTTTGGGTAGCAGATCATTTTGTTTCTAAATAGCTTCCTCTGTTGGATTCAGCAGGCTGGTAAACACCATAAACTGAGATTATGTACTGGCTGCTGCCACTGTCTAAAACATAGTTGTTTTAAACAGCCACAGTAGTTTTCAAACTATGTCTTTTAGAAAGCTCAAAAGTTAAGTTGACTCAACTATTTAACTTGAAACCTGTAAAAAAGCAGATAGAGTTCAATGGTTCAACCTCTGATGGCAGTGAGCTCTTTTGCAAAAACTGTCTCTTTGCCCCTACAGCCAAAAAAAAAAAATTGAAAAAAATTTACTTGACATTGAGAGGTCCTTTTTTCCTAAATGATGTTTTTTCTAAGAAAAAAGCATACTTCAATTTTATTACCCAAATTAAAAAAAAAAAAAAGGCATTGTAAGAGCATGTGGAGTATGACAGGATCAAAAGATCTGTTTCAGAATGTTTCACCAAAACACTTTCAAGGCTACCTTTAGGCTTTGGCGTGTCAGAGAGCAGCAACCTTAATCCTACTTACCTGTTAGATCCACTACAATGAGCAGGACATAAGAGATAGCGGCACATAAACACAATTCGTGACAATATTAGAAAGCTAGAACTTCCCAAGAATCAAAATACAATAGGCCACAACCTTAAACTCTACTAATATAAACCGGCATAACCTAGAACAGCAATTAGGTCCTCTAAGTTACCTTCTTGATTAGTTTACCTATTCATACCAGTACCCTAGTCAGCAGAGCACAAAAGCAGAGGTCTGTCCTGCTTCCTGCTCAGACCTTAAGCTGTACAAAGCCACTTTCAGATTTGTTGTGAGGATGTGAATGTTCATGCATAAACTTCTTTTAATAGGTGAATTGTTAATGCAAAATATACATAAAACTATTAAACAGTTATAAACACCTTAGAGTAACAGTGTAGGTAAGTAAACGTGCTTACCTCATGTGGATTGGCATAGCCCAAGAGTAGATTTGCTGCTTTAATGTCACCATGAACATACTCATTTTCATGTATATATTCCAGAGTATCCAACTAGAAAAGGATTTAGAACAGAAAACATCACTGTCGTCTCCACTCTACCCCTAACTCTACCACCAAATATTTCTCAATTATACAGTGAAATCAAGGGCTACACAGACTGAGCTGACCAATTTGGTTTGAGTTAGAGCACGAGGACAACACACTCTGTCCACAGGGTCTGTTCCCTCCAGGCACATAGCTGATGGCAAATCAAAAACAAGGCATACTTTGCCATGAAGTATCCTTGCATAATTACCTACGACTACCAGCTTCTAAGGGCATAAAGCGAGAACAAAACTGGTATTTTACAAACACTGGAGGAAATGTTGAGGATACCAAGCTCTTAGAAAGAACATATTCAATCAGCACTGAAGGTTTATAATACCAGTTATTATATGACCTGCACTGCATGTCACCATACCCGTGCACCATCATCCTTCTTTAGCTCCTTATTGAGGTATGATAGCTCCAACTGTTATTAAAAAGAACATGTGTGCTTGGCAACTCATACAAAGGATGACCTAATCCTGGCTTTTGCAGAGTACAAAGTGTTATAAGTCTGTCAATTACATGACTATGAAAGCCCTACTATTATTATTATTATTATTATTATTATTTAGGTTAATAGGAAACTTTGGAGGTGTCCAGTTTAAACCTCAACTTCAAGAAGCATTAATCTAAGTTAGATCAGGTAGTACAAGGGGTTGAATAGTCAATTTTTAGAAGTCCCCAAGGATAGGCATTGCACAGCCTCCGGGAAACATGTTCCAGTGCCAAGACACTCTTTCTGTGAAAACTTTTTCTTTACAGTGAAGAAATCCTCTTCCTGCAACTTACGAGCATTGCCTCTACTCCATTTGCTGTGCACTTTTGTCCAGTAACAGCAGTCTTTCACAACACAAAAGATAACACAAAGGAGCACTTATACAATTTTCCATTAAGTGTGTGCCAGTCTACACACATTTGAAAACAAAACTGGTATTTGCAGACTAGTCTAATTCTGGTCTGTACAATCAGTGTGTTCAGCAAACACACTGAAAATTTTACGTTCAGGCATGCAATTGTGAACTTTGACAAATATGGATGTCTAATACAATAACCTCAGACACTGGGAAAAAAAAAATCAATACATGTTAAAGCATATGAGAATAGGCTTACACATCTCAGTCTAGACACACATTTTGAAGCGCAGTCTATGCTTTAACCTATTACAAAACATTTTGGTTTGAGCCCACCAACTTCCAGCCCGCAGGGAATCTCAATTTTCCACTTAAAACACATTTTATTTAGAAGAAAAGATGAAAAATAAGGAAATATATAGCATTTACACATTTAATTCTAAACTTAAGAGCTAGCTAAAGGAACTATATTAGAAAGATAATTTTTTAGTTCAACTCAGCAAGTTCAAGACCTAGCAATTTCCTCTCTCTCTGTACATACCATTCGTGCGCCAAGTTGCAGAACAGTCTCCTTCTTAAATCTGCTTCCAGAATCTTCAAAGATTCTTTGAAGGTCTTCTCCCAGTCTCTCCATGACCATGAATCTATAGCTACCAGGAAACATATAAAAGGAAGGAATCCTTTAAGACAAGACTGCAAGTTTGTGTCAGATTGAAAGGATTTATCTCCATTTTGTTGAAAATGGATCTTCAGTCAATTTGAGGCTTAATTATAATTCATTTTATTACCTTTTTCCTTTGTACTCAGTCAAGCCTGATCCCCAAAATACTGGAATCCCTAAACATCTTATTTTTTTGAGACTCATCCATTTTCTTACTGCAATAATAATAAAGAGATAACATTGAGATAAAGGTAACTAGAGAATTTCAGGTTCAGTGTGGGGTTTTTTTCTTGTTGTTTCTGTTTTAGCTATCAAGCCAAGACTTTGAATGAAACAATGAAACAAGGCTAATTTGACAGTCTGTGTAGCAGACAATTCAGAACACAGCTTTACTGAGGTTCTCCACATTCTGCAAAACATGAATCAGTTTTTTGTTCTAGCACGTGGTAGCCTGTCCCCTTAGAAGGCAGATAAGCAATTACCAATAGCTGAAGAAATAATTCCTTTAGAAGCTCTACTTTATTCAATACAGAATGCTATCACAAGTGCTTATGTCTACCAGCAGTCTAAGTCATCTAAAGTCTTTAGGACAGTTCCCATGAATAAATCACATCCATGTTTAAGTGTCTGCAGAATCAAGTGCAGACTTGATTACTATTAAATCCTGTCATTACACACACTCTTAGCTGCTGAAATAGTTACTAGAAAAAATATGGTCTCCAATTAGTCCATGTAGTGCCTCTGTTCTAAGGCTGGCCTCTCTCTAGAGTCTCTTCATTGCTGTGCACTCTGCAGTGTCTACATAATAAACGTGGCATACTTCTCCCTTCTGATCAGAAGGGACGAGGCTGACATCCAAGTAAAGAAAACTACCGCACTTTAAATTTATTGTAGCACCAACTAGGATTAGTTCAGTGTCTATGAAAAGAGTTGGCTATCGAGCACTAAAGCAACAGTTCTTACTAGGAGTTCAACCTAAACTTGTCCTTAAATCTACCTGTAGCAGAACTGATATATTACTTACTATGCTCTTGTTTTGCAGCTCTCTGGTAAAATTTCAGTTCAGAAAATAAGGGGCCATTTTCAAGATATTCCTATTGAGAAATAAACAAACTCAGTATCATAAAATGCATTAGAAAGCAAACAGTTTCTAAAGGAAAGTGTGTAAGAAGCCCAAAGAGGATGGAACTCCCTTTTTCCCCCCAACTCCCATATACCATGCCATCTGACATGTAATTTTAATAAGTAGCTAAAAAGAAAAACTTGCAACACATTTGTATAAACAACACAGATTCTTTCAGAAATTATTTAAGACGCTATTTTCATAAATACTGTAGGACAGATGTGTTTAAATTCACAGTCTGATTTTCCTTACTTAACTGTTGAGGGCAGTAATCACGGAAAGGAAAGAATCAAGCCAAGAAAATACTGTGTGTCATGGAAATATCAAACACATCCCCAAGCAGGGAAAGGATATCAAGATATAAAAAAAAAGGGGAAAAAAACAGAAGCCACAAGCATGCAATACAGACCCAATGCTGAAAATAAGGACAGATAATTAAGAGAAAGAATTGCATACGAGTTAACAATTTAGAAAAGAGATCTTCACATTACCACTTTAATTACATGTACTGCATCATCTTCTACAGGAAGATCAGTTTGAGGGGAAGCTGCAAAATGAGAAGAGAGATGGGGATCAAGCTGCACGTAACAAAATATAATTGCAAACAAAGACCAAGCTAACACTGCATAAGGTGACCAAAAAATATACAACAAAGAAAACCAACTTTCTGCCTGAACTCCTGCTTTTAAAGGTCAGAGTTTTGCCAAGTTCAAAGGAAAACAAAAGGAAAACAACACACACCCAGGGAACTTTTAATAAACAAGTACAGAAGCAATTTTAACCCACATTTTCAGAAGTCTCTCCCTCAATGCTAATTAAAGAGTACACAAGATGTCCCCATTGCACGTTTGCACCACAATGAGGTATTCCATTATAACAGACTATGTTTAAGTCATTCCAGTCAATTGGATAACCTCTGTATTTGGTTGCTGTCAACCCACTGTCGTGACAAAGACGCCACTTAAAAGTTATGACCTACATTATGCCTCTAGACAGGCTTGTCTGGTTTTCTCTATTACAAATTAATTTGGCCCTAGAACCTTGATTTCTATTCTGACATTATTTAGACACTGGCCTAAGTTAGGGATAGCACAGCCACCACCTGCCTAAAGGGGAGATGAGGGATTGTGCCTCTCAGTGCAAGTAGAGATTTCAAAACAATAATTGACCACATGTGCCAATTACAGCCCAGGAGACAGAACCTCTCTGCACAGACAATGCAATCCTATTTTCTTCTGACCCTGAGAGAACTATCAGTTCTCTCTGATACTACTGAAGCTACATGGAGCTACACTGGGATTAAAATTTAATGAGACTAAATCATCTTTTAGAATCATCACTGGAAAAAACTAAAAAGAATACAGTTCCTAGGAAATAACTGTCCCTTTCAAACTTCTTATAATGATCAAATACCAACAACAGTCCAGGTGTGAAACACTTCAACTATCAGCACACACAGAAATAGACTACTTTTATCCACATAATAAAAATCAAGTAAACTTGGATCTAATCAAACCATCCAAGCTTACATTTTTTGATGGTTAGGGCATAAAAATATTTTAACAATGAACAGACTTCTTCAACTACCATGTTCCTTCAATTCTATTCAGCATCTGGACTGAATCCAGCAGCATACATACCCCAAACACCCACAGGGTCCCCACTGACTACTGCTTGTCTCTTCCCCATGTGAACACTTCTGTGCTAACACCACATTAGGATAAAAATGAATATACCCTAAAACAGTAGCTCTGGGAGGTGTGAACTATCCACAGACTCAGCCGAGTAGCAGCCACTACTGCAGTAGCAGTCAGGATGCAATCTAAAGGTACCATACAACTAGGAAGGAAATTCTGGTAAACTCTGGTCTTACCATATTATTGTACTTAAGCAGAAATTAAAGCACAGGTGCTTAAGTCTATCTTTCTCTGCCACATGTAGGCTATGTGTTAATAGCTGAAGACATAACTTTAAAGAAACATCCCATGCTTTTTCTCATTGTGTTCAACAACATCACATTGCCCAAACAGAATCAAACATGCTCCCATACCAACACAGTTCAGAAAAGAACCAGTGTTTTAAGAAAATAATTTTTAATACTAAGTTACTTAACAGAAGTTTGATAGGTATAGAGAAGTATCAAATTTAAATGTATTTGAAAGTCTGATCAACTTCCCCATAGACATCTTGACATTTCATAAAGAGAGGCCTCATTCATGGTAATCTGGAACAGAGTAACAGCTGTCAGGGTAATGAAGAAGAGCAATTAACAGGAGGTAGTCCAGCAGAGGGGCCTAACCCCCATGTTTCTTACACTATGCCTGTGCAAAGGCTTTTTGGACTCACTCTGAAAGAACATTCTGAAGAAAAATAAAACCCAAACTAACTGGCAATAGTTACAATGCAAAAAGGAAGAAATGTCAGGCAAAGCCCAACAAGGTATATGAACAGATGCTCCACAAAATGAGTAACACAACATTCAAGTCTACAAAAGGAGAAATGGTATTATTGTTTTTACTGCACATACATGAAACAAGGCATGCCATTCACAACAAGTAACACTCAACTTCTTATACAGATAATGCTTAGACAGTCTCATACATACAGATAAGCTGAAGTTGCACACATACCTTTTGTTACATCATTTTAATTAACCCTTCATATATCAGGCAGCAGTACCACAGCCACAGCTCAGAATTTAGACAGACTCTTTTTTAGCCATAAATAAACATAAATGGTTTTTAAAAAATTGTCTCATTACTATGTATAGTTACTTAACAGACTGGAAAGGCTCCCAAGGTTTAACAAACAGTCTGATTACATACCTCATAGACCACCACCACATACTCTCCTGCGAGTTTAGCTCATAGTTAATTACTGTATACTCGTAATTAGCCATGTGCTATCCTCGTTCTGTGTGGTAGCACATGGCTATTTATAATATTACAATCAGTTAAATGCTAGACTGCAGGACAGTAAGCAGAGACCCTGCAGGAGAGCAATGCTGATAGGCAGGAGGTCTCTGATGGCATGTAAGTACACACATAAAGTACCAGGAGCACTATATGGCAAGATTATGTTTGCAAAGGATATCTTAAAATAGCATAATAAGTGCGAGAGTTCCCAGTTTACAGTTAACATTGCTTTTATTAACTAGAGGCACACAATCTCCTTACCTTTGGGGGGAGTGGCCTTGTGTGCACACAATCAAAACCATTGTCTGCATAATTGTTAACTGGGAACACTGGTGCAAGATGAAGCCACACAGGGGGGCCATGGCTGTTTCTATCTCATACCAAGACAAGTCTCACAAAACATTTGCAAAATGCACAGCCCTATTTTCCCTTCCTCCCTTTCATCCCACAGTTGCAGCTACCGCACCAGTGAAAAGCACATGAATTTAAAATGCGCTCTGAAATCAAGCAGTGCGCTAAGATGCACATTCTTCGCCATAATTTCCAACTGTTGTGCCTGCACGGAGCAAATAACTCACCTTAAATTAACCCATGTCCAGAATTGCCTAGTTTCACCCCGACACAGCAGTTATGGTCTTATCACCCACTTTAATCATGAATTTCATCCGTTTGTTGCCAAGTGCCACAACCTTAATTAATGTAGCTTTCTAAATGTTAATAAGACATGGTAACAAAAGGGTGTTTCTGGATGAACTGTGATTTTCTACAACCACACAGCACAATTGCATGCAGTCTGACAAAGAAACATGCCAATTCTATTTGCCAGTTCAAACGTGCTTGTTGTAGTTTTAGCAGTTAATTTGTGGCAGTCACATTTGGAATATGGTGAAATATTTTCAATGGCTCTCACAGAACCAGTTTTGTTGACAAAGTTTACACTGTGGAAAAGAAAACGGCATTGATTTGGCAGTTTGGAAAAACATTTCTGCTCCTGTCCACAGCTGGTGTCTTTGCCACTGCTGGATATTTTGAGGATATATTTGTTTGGGAAACATGAATAAAATTATTTTCAAAAGTTCTTGGGTTGCTAGTATTTTATTTTTGTTCCATTGGTTAACTAATCCTGAAGAGTGATACTGTCAGCTTAGTTTTTTTGCAGAAGTAAAGAACAACCTCAAAAATACCACACTTAGAAATTACAGGCTATCTAGAAAGAAAAAAGCTGGGGAAAGTCTGACCCCATTTAAGTCAAAACAAGAGCTGTTAACTTCAATGGCTAACAAACAGGGTAGGGAGCATTGCTCAGAGCATCTAACATGAAAAAAGGATCCAAGTTGCAGCAATACAGTTATTAAAAACAAAATGTACACAAATAAATAAGAAATAGCATCTGCTATTTAACACACATCTTCAAATATTTCCTCATATGGAGGGTACTAAGGCAAGTATTCAAAGGCCAACAAAGCACACTGCTTCCCCACACCACCTTCACAATATCTAATATTTCCCAAGAACTGAAATGTTCAAGGGTGTTTACAGTCTTTTTGTAACATAGCCTAAGGAAGACCTACTTCGCCTCATATTGTTACTTTAAAGATGCATCATAACTTCCTGGAGAGGCTCTTTTCTGAGCAGTGTTTATGAGTAAGGTTTTTTTCTAGATTCTTCTCTTAGATAGCTCTGTGAATGCAGAGCTTTATTATACAAGTTACATATACATAGCTCTCTGTACCACACTTGTGAAACCATCTTCCACGAAACCTAACTGGTTTTAGTATAAAATTTTGCTCAACTGCTCAACTGTTTTGCAGGTAACTGCAAATGCTTCCAACTTAAAAACATTCAGTACTGCTAGGAAATTACACTTAATTTCTTACTCACGTTTCTAGGAAACCTTAATCTTGATTCACTAGAGCCAAAGTTTTATATTCCACAGCAATGAAAGCCACTGTTTGACTTTCAAAGTTACTTACTCTAAGCTGTAATAGGTATGACACATCCTTTAACCCCAGGCAGAAAAGCGATACGTGGTCTGCTCTTACAGCACTCTCAGATGGGAGTCCAGGACTCTAATATTTAAAACTTGATCACAAACTGCTTTCTGGCAAGATTCTGCTCCAGCCCATCTGTTAGTCTGACATGGTGCCCACTCAGAAGTTACTATGCCAGCTTCAGCAGGGTCCAGGTGCCAAAGGCAGCTGAAGGGAGCGCCCTCCATAAGGCAACAGGTGCCCCACCTTCCATCCAAAGCAGCTCCTCTTACCATATAACACTGCTCAGAAATACATCCCTCACTGTGGGGGGGGGGAGAATCAAACTTGCTCTCTCAACTTTCTAGCTTTACTTGGCATACCAGGGTCTTAGTCCTTGACCAGAACTCTCACACGGTGGACTAATGAAGAGCATGACAACAGCTCCCAAATCACTGGTGCATACATAGGGGAAAAAAACCCCACCAACACTTTCTGTGGCATTACACTAAAGTGTAATAGTAGCGATCTCTGCAGACTAACAGGCTTTAGACTACTGCATAAAAAAATATGTTATGTGTACAAAGTTCTGACTTCTATCTTACAGAGGACCTAAAGAAGAAGAAGGAAGATTCAAGAGGAAGCAGTCATCAGCAAAAACT